GGGTTTCCTCTCTTCTTTTTTTAATTAATCTTGCCAACGGGCCATCAATTTTGTTTATTTTTTCAAAGAACCAGCTTTTTGTTTGGTTTATTTTGGTTATGGTTTTCTGATTTTCTAATTGGTTAATCTCTGCTCTCAATTTGGTTATCTGGCTTCGTCTAGTAGCTTTAGGTCCCATTTTTTCTTGTTTTTCTAGCTGTTTTAGTTGCAACATGAGATTATTTACTTGGTCTGTCTCCATTCTCTTGTGTGGGCACTGAGGGCAATAAATTTGCCCCTCAGGACTGCTTTTGCTGTGTCCCACAAGTTTCTTTGTGAGGTGTTTTCATTTTCATTGAGTTGTAGGAAATGCTTTATTTCTTCTCTGATCTCTTCTGTTACCCAGGCCTTGTTAAGGAGTGTGCTGTTCAATTTCCATGTATTAGAGAAATTTCTGCGGTATGCTTTGTTATTGAAAGCTAGCTTGATTCCACTGTGGTCAGATAGGATACAGGGGATTATGTCGATCCCTTTGTATTTGCTTAAGTTCCTTGCATGAACTATGATATGGTCTATTTTGGAGAAAGTTCCATGAGCTGCTGAGAAGAATGTGTACTGTGTTGTTTTAGGGTGAAATACTCGGTAGATGTCAGTTAATTCCGCTTGAAGTATGGCCTCACTTAATTCGGTAGCTTCTTTGCCAATCTTCTGGTTGGTAGACCTGTCCTTTGGTGAGAGTGGCGTGTTAAAGTCTCCTAGTATTATCGTATTGGGATCTATTTTATTCTGTAAGTTTGAGAGCATTTGTTTAACATATCTGGGTGCACCGATATTTGGGGCATATAAGTTGATGATGGTTATATCCTCCTCTTGGATTGTTCCTTTTATTAATATGTAGTGTCCGTCCTTGTCTTTCTGTACTGATTTTAATGAAAAGTTTATTTTGTCAGATATCAGGATAGCTACACCTGCTTTCTTATTGGGGGAATTTGATTGGTAGATCCTTTTCCACCCCTTCACTCTGAGTTTGTTTGTATGTTTGGCTGAGAGGTGGGTCTCCTGAAGGCAACAGATGGATGGGTCTTGTTTTCTGATCCAGTCCTCAGTTCGTTTTCTTTTAATTGGCGAATTCAGCCCATTTATATTAAGAGAAAGTATAGAGAGATGCATTGTTGTCCCTGCCATTCCATTTTCCTAAGTTTTTCTTCTTTCCTTTCCTCCTGTGCTTGCTCAATTAGACTTTGAGTAATGCCTGTTTGGGGCAGGTCCCAGTTCCTGGTTGCTTTCTTCAGGTTGTGTCCCCCCTCTTAGAATTCTTTGTAATGCCGGCTTAATGTTTATGTATTCATTTAGTTTTTCTTTGCTATTAAAAGTTTTCAGTTCTCCATCGAATGTGAATGCTAGCTTTGCCGGGTATATCAGTCTGGGTTGGCAGTTATTGGCTCTCAGGGCTCGTATGGTGCTTTCTCAGGCTTTTCTTGCATTCATTGTTTGTGTGGAGAGATCTGCAGTGATTCTAATTTTTTTCCCGTTGGAGTATAGCTCCTTCTTCATTTTTGCTGCATGCAGGATTGTTTCCTTGTTATTCAGATCCATCATTGTTACTATAATGTGTCTAGAAGTGTTTCTCCTGGGATCTTGCTTGTTGGGTGTTCGATAAGCTTTTGTGATGTAGTTAAGATGGTCGTTTTTGAGGTGGGGAAAATTTTCATTGACTATCTTGTTAAATAGGTGTTGCATTCCCTTGCTCTGGAATTCCTCACCTTCGTCCACTCCGATTATGCGAAGGTTAAATTTTTTAGCATTATCTGCTTGCTCTTGAATTTCCCTTTGGTTTAATTTGAGTGATTTTTCCATATCTGTCACTTTTTGGTCCAGTTGGTGTATTCTGTCTTCTGTATCTGACACTCTACCTTCCATTTCATTCACTCTGTTGACCGTGGCTTCTATTGTGGTTTGCATGGTGGAAATGGATCCCTTTATGGATTCAATGTTGGTTCTCAGAGTACTGATCTCACCTCTCAATGAGGTGAGATCATTATGCATTACCTCTAATTTGGCGTTTATCTCACTTCTTACTGAGGTTTGTGCAGCTTCTATTTTTGCATCCAACTTTTGTTTGATATCCTGTATATCTTTTGATAGTTCATCCTTGTGCTCTTTCAATTTCTGATCCATTTCTCGCTTTATTTCTTGAGTCATTGCCTCCAGCAACCCTTGGATGTAGTTTTTGTCTTCCATTCCTGCTTTGCTCCCACTGGGGCTCTCCCCTGCGTGGCTGCTGGCTTTTGAGGTGAGCTTGCTGTCCTGGGTAGTGGTAAACCTTGTGATTTTTCTCTGTGATTTTCGCATGGGGGTTCAGGAGACTGCTCTTCAATCTTGTTTTGGTGTGTCTGTCTTTGTTTGGTTGCTGATTCTGTATTGGTAGAGAGAGTCTGTGCCTGATCTGGATTCTGTTGGGAGCCTATTTCCAGCTGCTATTCTGACTTACTTAGGATTCTCAGCTCTCTGCTGTAGATTGCTGGCAATTCCCGCCTTTGGAAGGGTTGAGCAGCCTAGACTGCTTGTGTTTGCTCCTGCGGGTGCTCTTGGGAAGATCAGATGCTCTGGATGCACTCTCCCAAATACTGGAGTCTGCTATGGGCTCCTGATTTGTTTTTGTTTGTTTGTTTTGGGCTGGTTGTGGGCTTGAACTCTAGGTTTGGGTGCTGTCCCTCAGCTCTTCAGCTCAAGGCTGGCACCCTACCATTTGAGCCACAGCCCCACTTCTGACCCTTTTTGCTTTGTTCAGGCGCCGGTCCCCGGGCCTGGTTCCGGCCCCAGCCTGGAGCACGCTCGTTAGGCCTGTGCTAATGTGTATACCACCTAGGTTATGCAGCCTGGAGGACACAGTTCAAATTTCTTCTACTGTTGGTAGTCTTGACCCAGGGGCGCTGTTCCTGGCTTGGGCATTAAGCTCCCTTCCAGGGGCGCTCTTGCTCTGGCCTGGCCAGCAGAGTGTGCTCCACCGGCTGGTGGAGCTCTCGAACAGTTCCCAGTTTTAGTGGGTCCTGTGGTCCAGGTGTTGGGGTAGGGAGTCTAGGTTCATGGTCTGGGGATTCCCTCCAGCTCTGGTCTCCCTTGATGGATTCACTGTCCCCTGTGGGGTACTCACCCAGTAGGTCGTCAGTTGTTGTTGCAATCCGAGTTCAGTTGGGGTGGTTGCGGGCTGGGTTGGGTGGCCCCTGCCTGGTCGTTGGGATCGCGATTGGGCGGGTGGTCTGCGGGCAGGTCCCTTCGTCGCGCTGCTGGTGCCGGGCGGCTTTGGCGGGATGGAGCCTCTCCGCTCTGGTGGAGAGTGAGGGGTGGGGGTGGGATCCTCGTGGAGACTCCCGGCTGGTAGGTTTCTCTGTTCCTGGCGATCCGCTGTTCTGCAATCCGGTACCTGGTGATCTGCAAGCAGCCCCCTGTGACTCTGTGGCTCCGGTAGCCCCGGCCGGGCCGGCTGGCCGGTGGCTTGGCGCACTGCTGCGCGGCCAGTAAAGGTTGGGGGAGGGGTCTTCGCTCTTCTCTGTTCTGAATTTCTTCTTTTCCTCTCTTTCTTTTTTTGTTATTTTCCACCTCTGGTTTTTCTCTGAGTGTTCGTCTTTTGTTGTTGTCGGTCTCTTGGGGAGATTAAGCGTTGGAACTCGAACTCTCTTTTTGGTTGGAGAGAGCTATGGCGTTTCCCTACTGCCCTGTCGCCATCTTTCCATGGGTTTTTGTTGTTGTTGTTGTTTTTTGTTTTTTGAGTATCTAAATCTACTTTGTTTTAAAAAAAAAAAAAAAAAGGTTTAGCCACCCAAATGCCTGTGGCTCAGTCCGGAATCCTACCTAAGAAGGTGAAATCCAAATAATCGTCGTTTGGGCAGAAAAGTCCACAAGTCTCCAGCTTCAAAATAACCAGCAGAAAGCAAGGCTAGGGGTGTGGCTCAAATAGTAGAGTGCCAGCTGTGAGCAAACAAGCTAAGCCAAGTGCAAGGCCCTGAGTTCAAACAGTAGAACCCTTACAAACTTTCCTGCCCCAGCTGGCTTGGAACCATGATCCTCAGATCTCAGCCTCCTGAGTAGGATTACAGATATGAGCCACCAGCGCCATGCTGAATTATGATCTTTTGAGGTGGGGAGGTTGGTTTTGTTTACAGAGACAGAGTTTTGCCATGCCACCCAGGAAGGCCTTGAATTCTTGATCTTCTGCCTCACCCTCCCAAGTGCTAGAATTATGGTGTCTAACACCATACGAGATAGAATTACGACTTTCTTTTTTATTTTGGACTGGTACTGAGGCTTGAACTTAGGGCCTTGTGTTCTCACTTGGCTTTTTCACTCAAAGCAATGCATACCTTCACTTCCAGAATTAGTATCTTTGTTGTTGTTGTTGTTGGGCCTGGATGCTGTCCCTTAGCTCTTAACTCAAGGCTAGCGCTCTACCACTTGAGCCACAGTGCCACTTCTGACTTTTTCTGTTTATGTGGTACTAAGGAATTGAACCCAGGGCCTCATGCATGCAGCAAGGCAAACATTCTACCACTGAGCCACCTTCCTAGCCCCAGAATTAGCATCTTTATGACCTCTGTTTTTTGTTTTTTTTTTGTGGGGGGGTGGGAGTCCGGTTGTGGGGCCTGAACTCTGGGCCTGGGTGCTGTCCTTCAAAGGCTAGCGCTCTACCACTTGAGCCATAGTACCACTTCCGGCTTTTGAATCGAACCCAGGGCCTCATGCATGCAAGGCAATTGCTCTGCCACTGAGTCACCTTCCCAGCCCTGCTTTTTTTTTTTTTTTTTCTTAAGCCTTGGCTACTAAAGTCAGGATGAATTCCCTATGTTACTTGTTTTGAGAGCACCAAGTATAAACCTCGGGTTTTCTTTGATCACTTTCTCATAGTTCATGTCTTGTTGCTTATCAGCCTGGCAGTAAAACACTTCAAAATAACACTCTTAAAATTTGAACTTTATCCTGTTTTGCATAGAACCTTTCATCTTAGCTCCTGTCTTTCTCTTTAGATGATAGAAGATGTTTTGGGAGAAGGATCCGTCTCTGCCAGTCGATTCAGTAGATGGTTCTCTAACCCAAGCCAGTCTGGAAGCAGATCTAGCAGCCTCGGGTCAACACCACATGAAGAACTGGAAAGACTTGCAGGTAAAATGGCTTCCAACTCTTCCTTTGAATGGAGAATTGAGCTTTCTCTGCCTTTGTCAGTCTTGTATCCATAAGCATGAGTACATTTAGATTGAGAAACTTTCAGTTTGTGTCCTCTCAGAATTATAAAAGATGAGTTTTTGCGTTAATTGGGATCCATTGTGCATATTGTGTTTACGATGTCAGGACTGGAGCAAGCCATCCTCTCTCCTGGACAGAACTCGGGGAATTACTTTGCTCCTATACCATTGGAAGACCATGCTGAAAATAAAGTGGACATTTTGGAAATGCTACAGAAAGCTAAAGTGGATTTAAAACCTCTTCTTTCCAGCCTTTCTGCAAATAAAGAAAAACTTAGAGAGAGCTGTAAGTGTATTAAGAATGCTTTCGATATCTGAAGAGAAAGACTAATTTTTTCACTGCCTCTTTTTGAGAACCTGGTAGCCAATGGGTAGTGTCCCATGAACAGAGCTTTTCCCTCATCATACTGCCTTTGGCCTAATTGTAATACCACAGTCAGTGCTTTCGCCTTCCTATGTATAACTTGCAAATTCCTCACAACTTGGCCCCAACGTGCCATGTTCTTTTTGAACCGAGGGCCCCACACTTGCTAGGCAGGCACTCTTCTGGTAAGCCACTGGTTAGCCTACCCGTGCTCCTGTTTAGCTATTAAACCATCAAAATAACAACTCAGTGCTCTAACAATCACAATATGTAGGTCTTGTTGATGTTGGCTTTTTGGATTCCTGTGTCTAACAGTTCTTCAGAGGACTCATAAGACATTTTTGCAAGATACATAGCATGATCTTGTCAACATTTTTTTTTTTCCCGGTCAGTCATGGGGCTTGAACTCTGGGCCTGGGCACTGACCCTGAGCTCTTCAGCTCAAGGTGAGCACGCTACACTTGAGCCACGTTTTCTGGTGGTTAATTGGAGATAAGAGTCTCACAGACTTTCCTGTGTGGGCTGGCTGTGGACCTTGATCCTCAGATCTCAGCCTCCTGAGTAGCTAGGATTAAGGGTGTGAGCCACCCCATCTTGTCAACTTTTAAAGCCTAATACCTCATAGTTTTGGTTACCTGTTAGACGCTAACTGCTCTTGCCTATAATCTGAACTACTCTGAGAATAGAGATAAGGAGGATCACAGTGTAGGCCAACTCAGGCAAAAATTGATACCCTATTCTAAAAGGGGTTGCAGACGTAGCTTAGCAATAAAGTACCTGTATAGCATGCAAAAGGCCAAGTGGAAACCCCAGTACTCCCCCCACAAAAATAGGTCCAGTTTATAGCATCTCTCTGTACATACAAAATTACAGCCTTCCTACTGAAGCAACTATCATGTTAATGTTTCGTTTGTTTTCAGTGTCAGCCATTTGTAAAAGCCTTATTTCAATTATAAAATCAATTGTCTTTACCAGGTAAAGACATAGGGTAATTTTTTCTAGCCAGAGAAAATTGCTGCCAAATCTTCGTGGGGTATAACCAGGACTTTGTCGACTTTTCAGCACATTCAGGTGTTGTGCTGTCGGTAGAAGAAGTGGAAGCAGGACTCAAGGGCCTGAAGGTGGACCAGCATGTGAACAATTCAACACCCTTCATGGCAGAGCATTTAGAAGAGACCTTGAGTGCTGTAACGAGCAGCCGACCACTGAAGAAAGATGGAGACATGACTGCATTCAACAAGCTTGTGAGCACCATGAAGGCCAGTGGGACTTTGCCTACTCAGCCCAAAGTTAGTGTAAGTATTTGGCACACACCCATTTTTCCTTTCCCATCTTTCAATTTCACTTCCTTACCTACCACACGGTAAATGGATTTTTTTTTAAAGGCTTTTGAAAGCCAAGAACTGGTGGCTCATGCCTGAAATCCTACCTCCTCAAGAGGCTGAGATCTGAGAGTCATGGTTCAAAGGCAGCCCAGGCAGGAAAGTTCATGGGACTCCGCTCCAGTTAACCATAAGAAAACCAAAGTGATACTATGGCTCCAAGTGGTAGAGCACTAGCCTTGAGGAAGAGAGTTCAGGGACAGTGCCCAGGCCCCATGATGGACAAATAAGATTTTTGTGCAGGTTGAAAGTTTTGGATTTTTTTTTTGTCTGCCCAGGCTGGCTTTGAACCACAATTCTCTGATCTCAGCCTCTTGAGTAGCTAGGATTATAGGCATGAGCTACTGGTGCCCAGCTGAAAATTCTCTATAGAGTTGTAGTTTTTGTTTATTTGTTTTGCTGGTCGTGGGGCCTGAATCCTGGGCGTTGGCGCTGTCCCTCAGCTCTTCAGTTCAAGGCTAGCACTCTACCACTTGAGCCACACACAGCACCACTTCCGGCTTTTTTTTTTTCTTCTGCTTATGTGGTTCTGAGGAATTGAACCCAGAGCCTCATGCATGTAAGGCAAGCAACTCCTTACCACTGAGCCACCTTCCCAGCCCAGAGTAGCAGTTTTTTGGCCCTTGATGTTTTTATGTTAACTATTTGTTACAATTTGTTTGGTAACAACTGTTAATATCAAAAGCAAGACTTATTAAAAGGCACCAGTGGCTTGTGCGGCTTGTGCCTTTAATCCTAGTTACGCAGGAGACTGAACTCTAGGGGACGATGGTTTGAGGCTAACCTAAGCAGAATTGTTCACCAGATTCCCATCTGCAAAATTTTCATCTAAAAGTATGATGAGTGACAGTCAAAAGACTGAACCTTATGCAATTCATGGATTTTTTAATTTTTAATTTTTTTTTGGTCATGGGCCTCGAACTCTGGGCCTGAGCACCGTCCCTGAACTCAGCTCATGGCTAGCCCTCTACCACTTGAGCCAGAGTGCCACTTCCAGTTTTCAGGTGGTAAATTGGAGATAAGAGTCTCAGGGACTTTTCTTGCCTGGGCTGGCTTTGAACCGAGATCCTCAGATCTCAGCTTCCTAAGTAGCTAGGATTACAGACATGAGCCACAGGCACCCAGCTATGGATAACTTTATTAAATCACTGCTTTTAAAAAAAAGTATATGCCGGGCACCGGTTGCTCATGTCTGTAATCCTAGCTGCTCAGGAGGCTGAGATCTGAGGATCGCAGTTCAAAGCCAGCCCAGGCAAGAAAGTCCTTGAGACTCTTATCTCCAATAAACCACTCAAAAACCGGAAGTGGCTCTGTGGCTCAAGCGCAGGGACAGCGCCCAAGCTGAGTTCAAGCCCCACAACCAACAAAAAAAAAAAGGTATAAAGCTGGAATGAGAATGAAGCTCATGGTGTAGAGCACTTGCCTAGCATTTATGAGGCACTGGAGTTCCATCCCCAGCATTAAGCAAAAAAAGCTTCTGAAGTTAACACAACTTAGAATATTTATACAACTTAGAATCTTTTTATCCTTTTCACTCCTTGGGGGAAGGAGTATGACAGTACTGGGGCTTAAACTCAGGACCTTGCATTCTTGCTTAGCTTTTTCATTTGAGGCTAGTGCTCTACCACGTTGGCCACATCTCCACTTCCAGCTTTTTTTTGGGGGGGGGGGGGAGAGTGTTCGGGTCATGGGGCCTGAACTCTGGGCCTGGGCGCTGTCCCTTAGCTCTTCAGCTCAAGGCTAGCGCTCTACCACTTGAGCCACAGCGCCACTTCCGGCTTTTTTCTTTTTGCTTATGTGGTGCTGAGGAATCAAACCCAGGGCCTCAGGCATGCAAGGCAAGCGCTCTACCACTGAGCCACCTTCCCAGCCCCACTTCCAGCTTTTTGCTGGTTAGAGACAAAAATCTTGGATTTGTCTTTCCAAGCTGCCCTTGAACGGCAATTCTCAGCCTCCTGAATAGGTAAGATTACAAGCATGAGCCCCTGGCACCTGACCAGCCTGCTGCTTTCTTGACTAGACGGTTGATAATCATCATATAAATTACTAGATAAGCAAAGATGGACTTTTTTGCAAGGCAGTTGCATTGTATTCATTTACTAGAGGAGTTATATATTTTAACTTTTAGGCCTAAAGGTAGGTTACAGGGTGACTGCATATGCTTACTGTATGTCATAAAACTGTTCAGCAAAGCAGTTTTCAACCATGGCTTCTGTGTTAACATGGCTGCCCGTGTGCCCTTGATACGAAGTGATGCAAAAGCCAGGCACTGGTGGCTCTCGCCTGTAATCCTAGCTACTGAGGAGGCTGAGATCTGAGAATCACAGTTCAAAGCCAGCCCGGGGAAGGAAAGTCCGTGAGACTTATCTCCAGTAAACCACTAGAAAACCGAAGTGGCGCTGTGGCTCAAGTGGTAGAGCGCTTGCCTTGAGCTGAAGAGCTGAGGGACAGCGCCCAGGCTCCATGACCAACAACAACAAAAAAATAGTGATGCAAAAGCAAGGGCAGATAGGAATAGGGAAAACACACTCACCTAGTTAAGTCATTTACTTAGTTGCTATTTACCAGTTGGGTTTTGCCTCCTACTTCCTTGTCTAGAAGCTGAAGGTATCTACACTGTGAATAGCAATATGTATAATTTGTGTGTGTGTGTGTGCCAGTAGTGGAATTTGAACTCAGGGCATGTGTGCTGTCCTTTAGCTTTTTCACTTAAGGCTGGCATTCTACCACTTGAACCAATCCTCCAGCCTCCTTAGTCTGTTACTGATTTTGGTGGGTTTTTTTGTTTTTGTTTTGGTTGGTTGTGGGGCTTGAACTCAGGGCCTAGGTGCTATCCCTGAGCTTTTTCCACTCAAGGCTAGCGCTTGACCACTTTGAGGAACAGCACTACTGCTGCTTTTCTGGTGGTTAAGTGGAGAAAGAGTCTTAAATTGCAATCCTCAGATCTCAGCTCTCTGAGTAGCTAGGATTACAGGCATGAGCCACCAACACCGGCATGTTTCTGATTTTTGTGTGGTGCTAAGGCAAGCATTCTGAGCTGTATCCCCCCCCCCCCCCTTTTTTTTTTTTTTTGGTTGGTTGTGGTCTTGAACTCTGGGCTTGGACGCTGTCCCTCAGCTCTTCAGCTCAAGGCTAGCACTCTACCCCTTGAGCCACAGCTCCATTTCCAATTTTCTGGTGGTTTATTGGAGATAAGAGTCTCATGGACTTTACTGCTTGGGCTGGCTTTGAACTGCGATTCTCAGATCTCAGTCCCCAAGTAGTTAGGATTACAGGCGTGAGCCACTGATGCCCAGACCCAGACTTTTTTTTTTTTTGAGATAGGTCCTGCTGTGTAGCTCAAGCTGACCTCAAACTCCTAATCTCCCTGCCTTAGACTCCCACAAGTGCATGCTACCACATCTGCCTTTTATTAGTGTTCACATTTTTGATTGGTACTAGGGCCTTGTGCTCATTAAGCAAATGTTTTACCACTTGAGCCAAGTCCCTAGTCTGTTTTGCTTTCGTTATTTTTGGGATTTAGGGTTTACCCATGTTGGCCTCGGCCCTTTTTATGATTCCTGTGTAAATGGGTAACAAGCATGCACCACAACAGAATGGAGGGGAAAGTGGGGTGACTCACCAGCCTTTTTTACTTCAACTGGTCTAGAACCACAACCTGCCTACCTATCCCTCCTGAGTAGCTAGCATTATAGCCATAAGCCACCATACCTGCTTTGTTATATTTTTTGAGGATAGAGCTTTGCAGTTGCTCTGCAAGCACTATATCACTGAACCACACTTTCATCCCTTTGCTTTTTAAAATATTATATTTGGCTAGTAATTCTTGTTAGAGATAACTCTTTGTTAGAGATAACAAACAGCCAGAGGTGCATCAAAAATTGAGGTCTATAAATTACTAAATGGTCTTACTGGTGGTTTCTTACTAAATAAGGGCTCCTCAGTTTCACCATATTCTGTGTCCATATTTTGGTCATGGTGTTGCAATGAAATGAACTAGAGTTAGCACTGGGGCAGTTTCAGTGAGGATTCTGAATGTACATGTGGACAAGCCTTTCCCAGACTTCTGGGACCTGTGTGATGAGAGACAGTAACAGGTTGGTCTGAGTTAAGCACCAATTGTTTTGGGAGGGTTTGATATTTTCTTACCCTCAGTCTGTATGTTAAAGTGTTAAGAGTTAAAACCAGTTTTTTGTTTTGTTTCATAGCGAAATCTTGAAAGCCATTTGATATCCCCTACTGAAATTCCAGGCCAACCTGTCTCGAAGAACATCCTGCAGGTAAGATAATCTTCCTTTCTCTTTATTGGCATACATTAGTTATACAAGAGGGGTAGTTTTAAACCAAGCCCTCTTGAGTCTTCATCAGTTTTCTTGTTTTTTGTTTTTGTTTTTTTTAGTTGGTCATGGGGCTTGAACTCTGGGCTTGGGGCTGTCCCTGTGCTGTTCAGCTCAACGCGAGTGCTCTACTGCTTGAGCCACAGTGCCACTAACAGTTTTCTAGTGGTTTATTGGAGATAACAGTCTCACAGACTTTTCTGCCTGGGCTGGCTTTGAACCGCGATCCTCAGATCTCAGCCTCCTGAGTAGTTAGGATTACAGGCGTCAGCCACCGGCGCCCGGCTCTCATCAGTTTTCTTAACTGCTTTTATTTTTTTTAATTTTTTTTAATTTTTTTATTTTTTTGGTCCGGTCGTTGGGCCTGAACTCTGGGCCTGGGCGCTGTCCCTCAGCTCTTCAGCTCAAAGCTAGCGCTCTACCACTTGAGCCACAGCGCCACTTCCGGCTTTTTTCTTATGTGGTGCTGAGGAATCGAACCCAGGGCCTCAGAGCCTCAGGCATGCAAGGCAAGCGCTCTACCACTGAGCCACCTTCCCAGCCTTTAACTGCTTTTATGTAGTAGTACAGACTTGGGCCTTAGCAAATGCCCTATGTTGCCTGGCTATACATAGTGCTGCTATATACATAGTTCTGTATTGCCCCTAATCTCAATAAGGGAACTAGGGGAGCTGGTTGGCTTTAAAAGATGACTACCCAAAGGAGGATATTCTTAGGAGAGGAACATAAAAGCATACTACCTATGTGCATCTGGCTATATAAAATAGTATTTATCGAAATGAACTCTAGGAAATGGAAATGAGGTTTTTTCTTCAGTTAAAAAAATAATAGGGAGGGTTAGGAAGGTGGCTCAGTGATAGAGTGTTTGCCTCGCATGCATGAGGCCCTGGGTTCGATTCCTTAGCACTATGTAAGTAGAAAAAGCCGGAAATGGTGCTGTGGCTCAAGTGGTAGAGTGCTAGCCTTGAACTGAAGAGCTGAGGGACAGTGCCTAGGCCCTGAGTTCAAGCCTCAGGACTGGCAATAATAATAATAGTAATAATAATAGGGAGTCTGGGAATGTGGTTTAGTGGTAGAATGCTTGCCTAACATATGAAGCCCTGAGTTTGATTCCTCAGTACCACATAACAGAAAAAGCCAGAAATGGTGTTGTGGCTCAAGTGGTTGAGCTCTAGCCTTGAGCATAGAGAGGCTCAGGACAAAGCCCAGTCCCTGAGTTTAAGGCCCAGGAGCAGCAAAAATGTTCTTGCCTACAAGTGCAACTTCCTGGGTTCAATTCCCAGTACCAATAAAGAAAAGGAAAAAAAATACAGTTAAAAAAAAATCTCTTATATAAACTATGCACTTTGGGTGATCAAAATATATCCATATAGGTTCCTTGATTTTAATAAATTTACCACTGTGGTAAGGTATTTTTTTTTCTTTTTTTGCCGGTCGTGGGGCCTGAACTCTGGGCCTGGGCGCTGTCCCTCAGCTCTTCAGCTCAAGGCTAGCACTACCATTTGAGCCACAGCACCACTTCGGGTTTTTTTTTTCTGCTTATGTGGTGCTAAGGAACGAACCCAGGGCCTCATGCATGCAAGGCAAGTGCTCTACCACTGAGCCACCTTCCCAGCCCCAGGAATTTTTTTTTTTTATTGTGAACATACTGTACAGAGGGGTTACAATTACATGGGCAAGATAATGAGTACATTTCTTATCAAGCATTGTAGCCTCCTCCTTTGTTTACCCTTCCCATCCTCCCCTCGCCGCCCCCCCCACCCATCCTCCCCCCCCCCCCCCCCAGGAATTTTTTTTTAAAGGCCTTTTTTTTTTTTTTTTGGCCAGTTCTAGGGCCTGAACTCAGGGCCTGGGCACTGCCTGTGAGCTTCTTTTGGTCAAGGCTAGTATTCTTCCCCTTAAGCCACAGTGCCACTTCCTTTTTTTTTTTTCTGTTTATATAGTACTGAGGAATGGAACCCAGGGCTTAATGCATGCCAGGCAAGCACTCTACCATTAAGCCAAATTCACAGCCAAAAACAAAAAAAATCTTTGACTTCTGATTTGCATTCTCAGTGGAATTTTTAAGTACCTAGCCTGTATTTGTACTTAAAACAGATGTGGCTAGCTGAATATTCAAAGCAGTCTATTGTATATACATAGGTTCTGTCCCTCAGTGAACTACAAGGGGATTCATCATTTGGCTTCCAAAAGTTAAATCTGTTATCCAAAGATTATCACTAGAGGGCTGGGAAGGTGGCTCAGTGGTAGAGCGTTTGCCTTGCATGCCTGAGGCCCTGGGTTCCATTCCTCAGCACCATATAAGCAGAAAAAGCCAGAAGTGGTGCTATGGCTCAAGTGGTAGCATGCTAGCCTTGAGCTGAAGAGCTGAGGGACAGTGTCCAGGCCCAGAGTTCAGGCCCCATGACCGGACCAAAAAAAAAAAAAAAAAAAGATTATGACTAGAAGGAACAACTTGATTTGTTCACTGAGATTTGGCTTTTCTGCCTTTAGGAACTTCTGGGTCAACCAGTTCAGAGACCTGCTTCTTCCAATCTTCTGAGTGGCCTTATGGGGAGCTTGGAACATAACACCTCTTTACTGGGCCAAAGAGCACCCTCTCCTCCCATGCCACAGATGTTTCAAACTCGAGCAGCTTCAGCAGACTACCTTCGCCCACGAATACCATCACCAATCGGTAACTAGTCTTTGGACTTAGAGCCTTACACGCGCTAGGCAGGTGGCCCAGCTGGAAACAATGCTTACAAATAGAAGTCTATTCCCCCATGTGGAGTTTATACTGGCAATGTTTTCCATGGGCATCCTTAAAGAGTTTTAAAGGAAATTTGAGGCTGGGAATGATGGTACAGGCCTGAAATCCCAGCACTTAGAGGCTAATGCAAGTTTGAGGCCAGCCTGCGACTACATAGAGAATGGGGAGAAGCGTAGATACCTTTGGGGAAAGGCCTGAGGAAAAGATGAAAGATAATTTATCACCTACCTGACCTTCTATGTAAGTTTTTTCATTTTCTTCCCTTTTTAGAAAAATAAATCCAAACAAGTTAATTTGGCTTCTGAAGTTTTCCAGGATAAAGAAGTTAAAGAGAGCTAAGAGTGATGGCTCAGTCCTGTAACACCAGTCCTGTGAGAGGCTGAGCTGGGAGAAATAAGAGATTGAGGCTAGCCTCAATAACAAACCCCTGTTGGAGAATAGTGGCTCTCTACTGAGCAGCTGAAGTTGTGTGAAATCTGAATTAAGACAAGAAGCAATGTCAAAAGCTTTTCTAACTGTTTCCTAGTATTTCTACGACCCTAGGACCGCTGTAGGCTGAGGCTCACCCCAGCCAGACTTTCCTTGAGAGGCATCCATCCACAGGAAGACACTCTCTCACTTTCTGTAGAAAGAGAGTGACCCCCTGAGCACAAGATTCTACTTTGGTATCAGCTGACTTAGTATGGCCAAATTCCTGGCTAGATAACTTTTCTCTCAAACAGGTCTTGGCTCTGAAAAGGACAAGAGGGACAACTTAGAGGGGAAAACAGATACACCACCAATTCAGGCCAACAAGAACTCTGACTGAGCCAGTGGCTCATGCCTGTAATCTTAGCTACTCAGGCGGCCAGCCTAGGCAGAAAAGCCCGTGAACTCTTACCTCTATCTAACCACCAAAAATGCAAGAAGTGAACCACCAAAAATGCAAGTGAAGAACTACTTGCATGTAGTTCAAGTGGTAGAACACTAGCCTTGAGCAAAAGAAGCTCAGGGACAATGCCCAGGCCTGAGTTTAAGCCCCAGGACATACACGCATATCTTTGACTTGGGAAAAAGAAAAAAAGGAATTGGAGGCATGGCTCAGTTGGTAGAACACCAGCTAATTAGCAAAAGCATCAGGTACCAAGTTTGAGTACCAATGTCAGACAAAAAGAACTCTGAATTCCATATAGCCCCCTGTGGGAGGGCAGAGGAAGAATGGACGTCTGGCAAGAAAGAAGCAGTGCTTCACAAAAGTGATCATGTCTGGACACTCATTTTAAAACTTTCTTGGCAGGTTTTGCACCAGGACCCCAGCAACTACTTGGAGACCCATTTCAGGGCATGCGCAAGCCCATGAGCCCTGTCACGGCCCAGGTCAGCTGAGTTTTGTCAGCCCCAGTCTCTTGCTTGCTTTTCGCCCTTTTGTCAGTACTTTTGCAGCTATGGAACGGTATGGTGTGTTTTTCAGAACATTGCTAAGTAATGGAAATAATACTTCAATAAAATACTGTTTGGTAGTTGACAATAAAGTTTGGTCAAGTCTGCAATATCTAATTTTTTTTAGCTGCTGCATAGATACACCTTTCTAGGAGAAGAGAGACTTTTGTAGAAAATATACAGATTGTCCTCATTCTTCTTTCCCTGTTCTTGGCAGATGAGTCAGATGGAGTTGCAGCAGGCAGCTTTGGAGGGGCTGGCCCTACCACATGACCTTGCAGTCCAGGCAGCAAACTTCTACCAGCCTGGTTTTGGCAAACCACAGGTGGACAGAACCAGAGATGGATTCAGAAACAGGTAACCTAGTAATCCTATGTGAATTAGAGTACTAATTTGCAAATAGAGGCTTCCTGAGACTAATAAACTAGTCAGATACAGTGTACATCTGTTGTATATACTAGTTTTCAATAGAGGAAATGATACAATTGAATTCTATTGCAGAGACATTGAGTTTTTACCCTATTGTTGTTTGTTTTGTGCTGGTCCTGGGGTTTGACCACCTCAGGGCTTGGACACTGTCCCTGAGCTTCTTCTGCCTTCTTCTGCCCGGCTGGCTTTAATCTGTGGTTCTCAGATCTCAGCATTCTGATAAGCTAGGATTACAGGTGTAACCTGTGCCCAGCTCCTTGAGCATTTGTGCTCAAGTCTAGTGCTCTACCACTTGACCCACGGCTCCACTTGGAAAGTGTCATGGACTTTCCTCCCTGGCTTTGAACTGCAACACCCCCTGCATGTGGGTTTAGGGATTCTCTTTACTCCCTCACCAAGAATACCACTGTTCTGTGTCCCCACATTGGTGAATGTGTGTCTCAGTACAGCAGTATGGGGATTAGTAGAACTGATTGGGGAAAAAAAGCTGGTTTTAGAATTCCATCTGCTTGTGATTCATAAAACTTGAAGAATCATTGACTGTTCTTGGGCTTTTGACCTTTGGGGCACAAGTTTAGACATGGGTGAAATGCAATGAAGTGTCTCAGCCAGTGGCTCACACATTTTTTTCTCTTGGCAACCTGTTATGTCTGTGTCAACACTGTTTACTGTTTGGGAGGTCTGATTTGGGTATGGATCGGGAGTAGCATGTTATATTACACTGGTTCCTAAAATACCTAAAACTCGTTTCATTTGAACCAGCGTCTCCTTGAGCATTGGTTTATGTGCCAACCATGGCTAATTAGTCTGCTCCCTGCACTAATTAGCATACCTAGTTCACAGAATGATGGTTCACTATCCATCTTCCTGGCATAGAAATAAACTATGCCAGCTCCAGATAACCCAACGCTTTCGCTGTAGCTGTTCTGTCTGAGCCATCTTAATCACTGGCCACCTCCAGTTTAATGAAGCTTCTTCCTAGGAACTTTCCCAGTGTTCTTGGTGTTTACTGCCATACCTTCTCCATTTTCCTACTGGCCCTTGTTTGTGTATCTATGTTGCTTTGATTGCCCCAAGTTATGACCCTTCCACTACAGTGAGAGTTCTGTAAGGAAGTGCCATGTTTCACTTAAGTTTTGAAATCACTCAAAATTTAGTCTTTTTTTTTTTTTTTGGTCAGTTGTAGGTCTTGAACTCAGGACATAGTTGCAGTCCAAAGCTAAGTACTCTGCGACTTGGAGTCACAGTGCCACTTCCAGTTTTCTGATGGTTAACTGGAGATAAAGAGTCTCACGGATTTTCCTGATTGGGCTGGCTTCAAACTGCAATCCTCAGATCTCAGCCTTTTGAGAAGCTAGGATTACAGCTGTGAGCCACCAGTGCCCAACTCTTAGTCATCTTTTTGCATTTGTTAGGCTGGGGAAAGTGAACTGTATAAGGGATTCTTGGCTTGGTCTTGATTTGCATTCTGATTTTCGGACTTGGGAGTTTTAGTGGCTTGGAGCTCTCTCCCTAATAATTAATGTGTTCACAGGCAACAGCGAGTAACGAAGTCACCAGCACCTGTGCACCGAGGGAATTCTTCATCCCCAGCCCCTGCTGCTTCAATCACAAGCATGGTCAGTGACCTATAGGAACTGTGAACCACTTGAAGACTGCTCTACTTGGTTATGCTCCCTAAGTATCCCTGAAAATCTTCCACAGGAATACTGACCTAAGTGTTTCCTACTTGCTTGTTCGGTCTTCACCTAGGGTTCTCTCCTAGTGAAGCCCCTCATGGAAAAAGTGCCAGCAGACTAATATTTGCTGGCCCATGCCTGCACATATTACAGTATGTCCAAATGAAGAAGCAGCTGTGTAGGGAGGTAGGAGAAAAAGGTGAGATGGACAGATGACAAGGCAGATAAGGCGTCCAGCAGACAAATTGGGGAGCTCACAAGTCGTTCAGATCTTAGTATTACAAAGACTGGGACAGAGGAGTTTGCCTGTTTGTGGTGATAAGTCTAGTTTGACAACTGACTGGCTGCTAAACAAGGGGGAGGAACAATTGCTGTGTAAAGACTCCACGTACAGCTGCATCAGACACTTTGAAAGCAAGGTTTAAGGCACATGAATAGTAAAATCATCAAAGGAGCAAAGAAATGGAAACTCAAGATCCAAATCATGAATCCTAGTAGCTCAATTTACTAAGATAATTGTGATTGTGAAGGGTTGGGACCTGTGCCTCAAATGATAGAGTGCTTGTGTAATAAACACAGGACCCTGAGTGCAAATTCCAGTACCTCAAAAAAAAAAAAAAAGATTTTTTTTCTTTTTTTAAATTTTCGGTCATGGGGCTTGAACTCTATGCCTAGGTGCTGTCCCTCAGCTCTTCAGCTCAAGGCTAGCGTTCTACCACTTGAGCCACAATGCCACTTCTAGTTTTCTAGTGGTTAACTGGAGATAAGAGTCTCACAGACTTTTCTGCCTGGGCTGGCTTTGAACCGTGATCCTCAGATCTCAGCCTCCTGAGTAGCTGGGATTATAGGCATGAGCCACCACAGGAGCCTGGCAATTGTGATTGTTTTAGTAGTCAAGTGAGAGAAATAGTAACAAAGAATAACTTAGTTCCTAAGTTTGTCTCTGAAATGTCCTTTTGCAGGTGGAAGGGGAGCCATTGTTGCTCCAGGGTGTACTTTGGTCATATTCCTCCTAGTCTAATCCCAGGTCCCTAGGTGAAGTGTGTGAATAGAGGCAGGTCCCTGTTATCAGAGCTTTGGACAGGGATTGCACTCATGGGACTGCCTGCCTCCTCCCTTTCCTTTCCTCTAGGAGCTGTAGACCAGAATGTTGGTATTGTCCTCTGATACTATGTAGACAATATGGAAGCTCTTAATCTTTGTTGAGCAGCTTGGTCAATGAATTCTGGCCTGATATTAGGGAAAAGTACTTAGGATATGCTGATGTCAACTCTTTTTCTCTGCAGCTTTCTCCTTCCTTCACCCCTACCTCAGTGATCCGGAAGATGTACGAGAGCAAAGAGAAAAGCAAGGAGGAAACAGTACCTGGAAAGGCGGCTGCTGGTGACAGTAAAGAGGATATTCTGAAGGCCAGTGAAGGTACTGCAGGGTGTGCTACTAAGCAAGTATGTGTGAGAGAGAACACAGGCTGACCAACCTAACCTGATTTCTCTCCAAAGCAGTTCCCAAGCCCTGGCTGCTTGACCACAGTCGTGTGTCAAATAGAAGGGTTGGCTCTATGTTGAACATGAACTATACAACTTGTGGGCGAGTATGGGAGGGGAAAATTGGGAGAAAGTGAGGGAAGGGGTGACAATGTCCATAAAGAAATGTACTTACTACCTGACTTATATAACTGTAATCCCTCTATATATCACCCTTTATGGTAACAGTTTTTAACATTTTTTGTTAAAGGATTGGAAGCCAGTCACTGATGGCTTATGGCTGTAATCCTCGGTACTCAGGAAGCTGAGATCTGAGGATCGTGGTTCAAAGCCAGCCCAGACAGGAAAGTCCATGAGACTCTTATCTCCAGTGAACCACTAGAAAACTGGTGGTGCTGTGGTTCAAATTAGTAAAGTCATGCCAGCTTTGAACAAAAAAGCTCAGAGACAGTGCCCAGGCCCTGAGTTCAAGCCCCATGACCAACAAGAAAAAAGTGGAGGGGGAAACTAGCCCACATTCTCTGGGTTGCTCAAAATTCTGACCAACCTAAGAATGTTGTGAATGCTGGTTTAAAAAATGAACTTCAGTTTAGAATTTTTAGTTGTTATAGTTTAAAAATTAGTATTTTTCATATATCCCAATATGAGCCCAATATAAATGACCTGAAACTTAAAATCCTACCTTAGCCTCAGATTACAGGTGTGTATACCACACCTAGATTTAGCCCAGCCATTTCTAAAAAGTTCTCCAACTGTGGAGACTTGATATGTGCAGTGGGTGAAGCATATGGGTATAAGAGCCTTTTACAAGTATAAAAGAAAAAATGTGCTGGTCTCTGTGAGTTGCACAGATTGTAAAGGACATGGTGGCACTAATTCTAGTAAATTAGCATTACATAGGTGCAGACTATTGGTCTGAAAACCTTTTGCCTGTGTTGCAAGAACAGTGGAGCAGATACTCTTTGATCAGGCTGTAATTGCTGTGTGTGTGCCCCAATACCAGGGCTTGAAGTCAGGGCCTGGGCGCTGTCCCTGAGCAATTTTCTCAAGGCTAGCACTCTGCCACTTTAGCCACAACTCCACTTTAAGCTGTTTGTGATCACTGGAAATAAATCTCATGGACTGGACTTTACTTAAGATCTGAGATCTCTGCCTCCTGAGTAGTTAGGATTACAAGCATGAGCCACTGATGCCTGGCTGCTTTTTAAATTTTATCATGGATTCATATGATTTTGTACCAACTTGATTCTCTCCTTAGACTAAAAAGAATCTCAAGCAGCCAAGGACAGGGCTAGTGTCCATATAAGCCCAGGCCACAGCCATTTGTGCAGAACAGATTGCCTAAGTTAGACCACCAACCCTGATTCTCCAAGTGTTTACCAAGAGCTATCCTTTTGTTCAGAGGAGTATTAAGAATAGAGGACGTGGGTTTTGGGGGGTTCATCTGCATCCCCTCAAGGATGTGGACTTTAAGATTATAACCTTAGGGGCTGGGAAGTGCCCTGGGTTTGATTCCTCAGCACCACATAAGCAGAAAAAGCCGGAAGTGGGGCTGTGGCTCAAGTAGTAGGGTACTACCCTTGAACTGAAGAGCTGAGGGACAGCGCCCAGGCCCAGAGTTCAAGCCCCACGACCAAAAAAAAAAAAAAAAAAAAAAAGTATAACTTTACATTTTTTCTTTTTGTCAGTTGTGGGGCTTGAACTCAGGGCCTGGTCACTGTCTGAGCTTTTGTGCTCAAAAGGCTAGCACTCTACCATCTTGAGCCACAGCTCCACTTCCAGTTTTCTGGTGGTTAACTGGAGGGAGATAAAAGTCTTATGGGCTTCTCTGCCCAGGCTGGCCTTGAGCTGCGATCCTCAGATCTCAGCCTCCTGTGTAGCGAGGATTACAGGTGTGAGCCACCAGCACCCAGCAGATTTACACTTTTGGAATGTGTCAAAAATCCCTTCTGAACTGGGAGCATAGCTTAGTAGAATACTTTCTTGGCATGTATAAGGCGCTGGATTCAATCTCCATTTTCCCCCTGTGCCACAGACATAAATCCTTTCCCCAAAGTCCTCTTTTCAGGGAAGAGTGGGAAGACCATAAAACAAGTTTGCCAATACCAAAATACTGACTGGTTCCTTACAGACAACCTGCTGTCCAATTCCATATCCAATGTGGATCGAGAGTCTTCGCCTACAACAAATCTAAAACTGTCAACATTACAGCGGCCTTCATGTTCCACCCCACTGTCCCAGACAAACCGTTACACCAAAGAACAAGATTATCGACCTAAAACAGCTGGGAGAAAAACACCCACGTTGGCATCCCCAGTTCCAGGAACACCTTTTCTCCGCCCCACCCACCAAGTTCCCCTCGTTCCCCATGTCCCTATTGTTCGGCCTGCTCACCAGCTCCACCCAGGATTGGTCCAGAGGATGCTGGCCCAAGGAGTACATCCACAGCATCTCCCAAGTTTGCTTCAAGCTGGTGAGTTTCAGATCTGAGTTAGTCTGGGGACCTGACATGACATATACAATGAAGAGACATCCATTCCCAGAGATGTTACTATATTCTTCCACCTAACCAACAGGCAACAGATCCAATCCAATTCATTCTCTTAGTCCATTAAAAGACATCCTTAATGAGCTTTTAAGTCAGCAAAACATTACTACAACCCAGCCCTTCTTCCTTCTGCCCAGCAGGTGTGCTTCCTCCTGGGCTGGACCTGACGCATTTACAGGGACTATCTGGCCCCATCCTGGGTCAGCCCTTTTACCCCTTACCTGCTCCTGCTAACCATCCCCTCCTAAACCCTCGTCCTGGAACACCTCTGCATCTGGCGATGATGCAGCAACAGCTCCAGCGCTCAGGTGAGTTCAGGAATGGGCTGGGTGGGAAGATGGGAAGAGGCTTAAAGCTTAGGACCAGTCTCCTGGAGATGAATTGACATCCTTAATCAGTCGACCTCTGGAATTTGGGATTGTTCCTACAAAAACAGTGGGAGCGCCTGGAGTCCTTGGATATCTTCTAAAAGGTGAAGAATCTTTCCAGTAAAAGTTGAGCTAGGAGCTAGGCGTCAGTGCCTCACACCTGTAATCCTAGCTACTCAGGATACTGAGATCTGAGGGTCATGGTTCAAAGCCATACAGATAGGAAAGTCTCTGAGACTTTTTATTGTCAGTCATGGTGCCTGAATTCTAGGCCTGGACACTATCCCCTCAGCTCTTCAGCTCAAGGCTAGCGCTCTCCCACTTGAGCAACAGCACCACTTCCGACTTTTTCTGCTTATGTGGTGCTGAGGAATTGAACCCAGGGCCTCATGCATGCGAGGCAAGCGCTCTACCACTGAGCCACATTCCCAACCCCTCCATAACTTTTATCTCTAATCAGTAATAGGAAAAGTGAGCTAGGGCCCACCCAGAACAGATGCCGTCTTAGCAGAGGTCAGTGCTATGTGATGAGAAGTGGCCCTGTCATCCAGGGTGGGTTTTCAATATTAATGGCTTCTTAACAGCTTAACGTTCTAAGGTACTGACTTCCAGTTCTCTAAAGAAGCCCTAGAGTAAGTCGTCTCATAAAGACTTTGGTTCTGTTTCTGTTAGGGTTTGAGTGAAGGGAGGACCTGGTAATAATAAGGAACCATTGTTCCATCATACTCTGAATGTTTATAACCCTTCTTATCTCCATAGTTCTGCATCCTCCAGGCTCTGGATCCCAGGCAGCAGCTGTCAGCGTACAAACAACTCCTCAGAATGTACCCAGTCGGTCAGGCCTGCCGCACATGCACTCCCAGTTAGAGCATCGCCCCAGTCAACGGAGCAGCTCCCCTGTGGGCCTTGCCAAATGGTTTGGCTCAGATGTGCTGCAGCAGCCCCTACCCTCCATGCCTGCCAAAGTCATCAGTGTAGATGAGCTGGAGTACCGACAGTGAGGGCATGGCAGGCAGGCAGGCAGGCTCACACACATCTGGACCTATGGTGGCAACCTGGGCAGGACAATGCTGCTTCATCTTGGGTTGGTTTATAGGCTTTTACTTTGGAACACTCCAGGTGAAGCTCTTTAGGGAACCCACACACATGGCGTGGCCTCACATGATAGAACGACCTTAACCAATGTAGGAGCAGAACCCACATGGTCTAAATACAGGATGCACAGTGCTGTCAATCCTGAAAATTCTTTCTTTTTGTAAGGTATGTGAATGATGTGCTGGTGTCTTCATTAAGAGGTGGCACCTAAGGGTTCTGAGGAAATAAAATGTATAGACCCTTATGTACAGATCTGTGTATAAACTTTTGTACATACATATAGGATAGCTTTTTTGAACTTATACAGCTGTACATAAAAGTAGCTGATATTAGTTAAGCCTGTGTCAACTGTTTTTTTCTTTTTTTCACTTGTACATTTGGGACTTTTGTTTGATTAAAGTTGCATATGCTAAGTGTGTGAATGAAGTGAATGGCATTGCTGTGTTTCTTTCCTCACTGAATCGTTTCAAACAGCTAAGCCAAGAAATTTAGGACTCCTTGATGGAAATGGCCTGAAATATCAATTATTGTGGAACTGGATCTATTTTGATTTAGGAGGAAGAGGCAGCTTTTTCATTTAAGACTCCAGAGATGGTTAGGCCAGGCTGACTACCCTTTAAATGGCCTTGTAACTAATACGTGCCCTTTTCAAAATTCCCATAAAAAAGAGATTTTGGCTCTCCTTTCTGGCTGAAGATTTTTCAGTCCTACTAGTTTGAAAGTTTTCAAGCTGAAGCCCTAGCTCTGGATACCTATTTAGTTAGGACCATAAAAGCTACTTTGAGGCTAGGCACTGTTGGCTCATACCTGTAACCCTAGCTATTCAAGAGGCTGAGCTCAGAAGACTGCAGTTCAAAGCCAGACCAGGAAATAAAGTCCATGAGACCCTTATTTCCAATAAACTACCAAAAAAAGCTAGAAGTGGAGCTAGAGCACTAACCTTGAGTAATAGAAGCCAGGGTCAGTGCCAAGGACTTCTGTTCAAGGACAAGAAAGAAAAAAACAACAAAAAACTCCATGCTTCAGGATAAAATGACAGTTGGACAAGCTGCTGCCTTTTAATTCCAAGGGTGACATAGAGCCTGACTTCTGAATGTTAGGACTCTGCCCTATACTTCAAAGGGCACAAAAAAGTCACATTTCAACAGAAACTGTCAGAGAGAGATCTCACTCATTTTCTCTTCTTCCCCCCAAAGTATCATTAGCTATTTTTTTTTTTTTTTTTTGCTAGTCGTGGAACTTGAACTCAGGGCCTGAGCACTATTCATGAGCTTCTTTTGCTCTACCATTTGAGCCACAGTGCCACTTCCGGCTTTTTCTGTGTATGTGGTTCTGAGGAATTGAACCCAGGGCTTCATGCTTGCTAGACAAGCACTCTACCACTAAGCCATATTCACTTTCTGTGTGATTCCTCAACCTTAGAATTCTTTTTTTTTTTGGGGGGGTCCAGTTGTGGGGCCTGAACTCTGGGCCTGGGCGCTGTCCCTCAGCTCTTCAGCTCAAGGCTAGCACTCTACCACTTGAGCCACAGCGCCACTTGGGGCTTTTTTCTTATGTGGTGCTGAGGAATCGAACCCAGGGCCTCATGCATTGCAAGGCAAGCGCTCTACCACTGAGCCACCTTCCCAGCCCCAGCCTTAGAATTCTTAGAAAATGTTTTGTTTCCACAAGTGGAAGTCAGAAAGTGGTCCCAGGTATTCACAGAATACTGATATCTGGGCTCTGGTTTGACCATTTCTGTGTCCCTTATCCCATGTATTTCCCCTTTGTGTTTAGCCAACAGTAGGAGGTATACAGTGAGGAGGAAGAGGTTGAAGCTGCCTATAAGGGATTCCTTTTCAGACTCAAAGCTGGTGAGACAGGTCAGAGCAAAGAGCAAAGCCATTAGCTAGTGACTGGCAAAATGGAGCCAGATATCAGACCTGTAACCATGAAACTACTACAGGAAGGAGAAACAATTTATTGGCATAGACAGGAACTTCCTGAGCAGAGTTCCAGGGGTATAGCAAATTGGAGACTCACTGGGATTGCACCAAAGTTTCTGCACAACAAAGAACAGCGTACCTTGGGTCTGGGAAGGTGGCTCAGCAGTAGAGTGCTTGCCTTGCATGCATGAGGCCCTGGGTTCAGTTCCTCAGCACCATATAAGCAAAAAGAAAAAAGCTGGAAGTGGTGCTGTGGCTCAAGTGGTAGAGCGCTAGCCTTCAGCTGAAGAGCTAAGAGACAGTGCCCAGGCCCAGAGTTCAGGCCCCACTACTGGACCCCCCCCCCCAAAAAAAAAAAAAAAAATCCAAAGAACAGCGTACTTTTACCGGTTACACATATGAGGAACTGATTTCCAGAATATACAAGTTCAAGAGACTATAAACATCCCCAAAACCAACCTAATTAATACATGTGCAAAAGAACTAGAAACTTCTCAGAAGAATGACCAATAAATGCATGAGGAAATGTTCAAAATCCCTGGCCATAAAGGGAATACAAATCAAAAGAACATAAAAGATAATTAAGCCAAGGGCTGATGGCTCACACCTCTAATCCTACTACTCAAGAGGCTGAGATCTGAGGATTAAGGCTCAAAAGCAGCCCAGGCAGGAAAGTCCAAGAGACTCATCTCCAAATGCTAGCACTCTACCTAAGCTCTGAGTTCAAGCCCCATGATGAATGCTGTTAAGAGATGTAGGGAAAAAAGAAACACTGTTGGTGGGAACATGAACTAGTGCAACCATTCTAGAAGGTGATTTAGAGAGTCTTCAAAAAGAGTAAACAGAAGCAGGGCACCAGTGGCTCACGCCTGTAATCCTAGCTACTCAGGAGGCTGAGATCTGAGGATCACGTCCGTGAGACACATCTCTGATAAACAAATAGAAAACGAAGTAGCACTGCGGCTCGGCTCAAGTGATAAAGTGCTTGCCTTGAGCTGAAGAGCGCAGGGACAGAAGCCCAAACCCAGAGTTCAAGCCCCCGGACTGACAAAAAAAGGAGTAAATGGATGGGGAATGTGGCCTAGTGGTAGAGTGCTTGCTTAGCTGCATGAAGTCCTTGGTTTAATTCCTCAGTACCACATAAACAGAAAAAGCTGGAAATGGCGCTGTGGCTCAAGTGGTAGAGTGCTAGCTTTGAGCAAATAAAGCTCAGAGACAGTGCCCAGACCCTAAGTTCCAGCCCAAGGACTGACTGGCAAAAAAAAAAACAGAATAAACAGAACCACCATATGATCCAGCGATACCACTCTTAAGAATCTATCCAGAATATTACAAGTCAAGACATGGTAGAGACACACATCTTTGTTCAGTAGTGTGCTATTCACAATAGCCAAGTTATGGAAACAGATGAGTAGATTAAGAAAATGTGGTGTGGGGCTGGGAAGGTGGCTAAGTGGTAGAGTGCTTGCCTTGCATGCATGAGGCCCTCGGTTCAATTCCTCAGCACCACATAAGCAAAAAGAAAAAAGCCGCAAGTGGCGCTGTGGCTCAAGTGGTAGAGCACTAGCCTTGAGCTGAAGAGCTGAGGGACAGCGCCCAGGCCCAGAGTTCAGGCCCCATGACTGGACCCAAAAAAAAAAAAAAAATAGTTTAACAAAATGAATACCACAAAGTGGAAAAGTTGGCAAGGGAAGGGCGATAGGGTTGGGAACACATGAATGGAGAAAGGGTGAGCAAACAGTTACACTTTTTTTTTGGGGGGGGGGTCCCCATGGGGCTTGAACTCTGGGCCTGGGCACTGTCCCTCAGCTCTTAAGCTCAAGGTTAGCCATAGTACCACTTCTGGTTTTCTAGGCTCATGGATTTTCCTGCCTGGGCTGGCTTTGAACTGCAGTCCTCAGATCTCAGCCTCCTGAGTAGCTAGGATTACAGGCGTGAGCCAGCAGTGCCCTCGGAGGAAAGGGATATGTGGGAAAACAACAGAAAGGGTAGCGTTGGTCAAGGCATTGTATTTATAATCTGACTTATGGAACTGAAACCTCTTACAAGAAAACAAGAGCATTATTAAGAATATCATAGTAGTAGGGTACTAGTGGCTAATGTCTGTAATCCTACCTATTCAGGTGGCTGAGATATGAGGATCTCAGTTCCAAGTCAGATGGGACAGGCCAGTCTGTAAGACTCCTATCTCCAATTAACCACCAACATGCCAGAAATGGATCTGTAGTTCTAGCTTTGAGGGGAAAAAAAAAAGCCCAGGAACAGTCTGTGCCTAGGCCCTGAGTTCAATTGTGTGTGTGTGTGTGTGTGTGTGTGTGTGTGTGTCTCACGCCTGTAATCCTAACTACTCAGGAGGCTGAGATCTGAGGATCATGGTTCAAAGCCAGCCCAGGCAGAAAAGTCTGTGACACTCCTCTCCAATATACCACCAGAAAACCTGAAGTGGTGCTGTGGCTCAAGTGGCAGAATGCTAACCTTGAGTTGAAGAGCTGAGGGACAGCGCCCAGAGTTCAAGCCCAATGGCAAAAAAACAAAAACAAAACCAAAAAACCACCCTGACTGGAGAAGGGTGAAAACAAAAGAAGTTAATGTAGTTTCTAGAACTTAGATTGATATAGGGGGAAGGCAGGAAGGAAAAGTGTCTCAGCTAACTTTTGGGTATCTTTGGTATGTTGAGCAGGCACGAATTTAGGAACAATCAGGGTTGGAGGGTGTGTACAATAAGATTAAGAGAAGCTAAGAATACCTGTGACACCTTCAAAGTAGAAAAGCTGAAGGGTGCATGACCTCATGGAAAACCTACCATGATGGAGGGGAAGCCGGGTAGGAAAGAATAGTCCTTATCACCAAAATCAAGCAGGAGGAAGACCATGAATGGAGACGGAAAACACAGGCCAACTTTTTATAACAGCTAAAAAGCTTCTAAGAAGCTACATTACTAAGACTGGCTCTTTGTGATAGTACAAGCTTAATCAGGAATGAAAACTTAAGAAGAGCAAACTCTTGTTTGTTAATTCTATTCCCTTGGGCTAGAAGTGTGGCTCATACACACAAAAGCCTTAAGTTCAAACCTCAATACTGACAAAAGAAAAAAAAAATACAGGGGCAGGGAACGTGGTTTAGTGGTAGAGTGCTTAAGCCTTGGGTTTGATTCCTCAGGAGCACTAAACAGAAAAAGCTGGAAGTGGTAGAGTGCTAGCCTTGAACAAAAGAAGCTCAAGGACAGTGCCCAAGCCCTGAGTTCAAGCTCCAGAATTGGCACACAAAAAGAAAAAGAAAGAAAAAAAGAAATTATAGTTCTAGTCGGGCACTGGTGGCTCACACCTGTAATCCTAGCTACTCAGGAGGCTGAGATCTGAGGATCACGGTTCAAAGTCAGCCTGGGCAGGAAAGTCTATGAGACTCATCTCCAATTAACCACTAGAAAACCAGAAGTGGTGCTGTGGCTCAAGTGGTAGAGCACTGGCCTTGAGCTGAAGAGCTAAGGATAGCAACCAGGCC